AATCTAAGAGATCCAACTTGAATCTGAGAATGTTGATTTTGTCACCTGTATATAGTAAACTCTAAGACACATACAGGACTAGGTTGTAGTAAAGTAGCTAAAGAAGTAGGCTAGAGACTAGGAGAAGGATAAGGATGGACAAGTCTACTAAAAAGGCCAACTATATGTTCTAAAGGATTAGAAGCTGTAGGAGGACATTGTCTGAGCTTATTACAATAATCTGACTGTAGAACATTCAGACTAACATAAAATGTAGGAACTTATTACTTAGAACTACTAGTAGTTAGGAATGTAGAGAGAAATCCTAAAGTATGTAGCTAGTTACAATATGTACTAACAGACTAAGGCCTACTAGACAAGGGTTTAGACTCTTCTACATTTGTATTAGATTCTGGATCACTCTTAGAAAGAAGTCTTAGTAGACCTGATTAGTAAACTATCTAAGTCTTAGAGTTATAATACTATCTGTGTAATTGTTAACTAATTCTCTAAGCAAGTCTATATAGTTCTGACTCAAACAGAACTCACTTTTAAAGACATAGTGTGTATTTATTAGGATTATGTCTTCTAGTTGTATAGACTCTCTCAGAAGCTCATTCACAATTACAGACTGTAATTCAAGTCAAAATTCATGTAGGACTTGTACATACTTCTCAGAATTCAAGAGAACCCTTCTACTATATATTACTTATAGACTGATAGTTAAACTAAGTGAGTCAATCAGGAGATTAAGCTCTATCTCTAAATGTTCATTAATTATTAGTAGTCAGATTGGTCTAAATAGTTAGCTCTAACAGAATTTGTACACAATAACTAGTAACACTCTATAATAGGACAGTCTCTGTTCTTCCTTAACTATAAAAGACATTTGTACTAGAGGACAGTTCTAAACTAAAACAGTAGTTCTGAATCTGTAACAGACTTTACAGAATGGATGTACAAGACTAGGGAGGATGTACAAGCTCTTTTAAAGAAGGTAGTATAAGTTATAAAGTAGAACTATGATTAGAAGAGATTTGTGGCCAAGAATTACTAGTCTAGTAACAAAGTTATACTAGAAGCTACTAATCTGACTACAGATTGTCTAATGAAGAAGTTGGACAACAAGTACTTTAGACTCTTTGTTATTAAAAAGAAGGTTAGTACCTTTGTCTACAAACTCTAACTTCTAACAATATGAAAGTGTATACACCTAGTGTTTAACAAGGTTCTGTTGTCTCAGTATTATAATCTGAGTTTTCCTTTACAATAAAGACCCTTACTACCTTTACCAGAACTCATTAGTTCTAAACTGGAATACAAAGTAGAGTATATAGTAGATACTAAGTTAGTGTACAGAAAGCTCAAGTTCCTTGTTTACTAGAAAGGGTACCTAGTTAAAGAACACACTTGGGAACCTACTAAGAATCTTACTCATACTACTAAGACAATCTGAGACTTCTATTAACTTTATATGAGCACTCTGTACTAACTCTGCCTTACAGATTTCCAAACCCTACTGTTCTAACTTATGTCTGAGCTACTAACTAAGTCTAATGTTTACTAATTAGAACAATTAGTTTTAGAGGGAGGGTAATGTTATAGTTCTCTACTCTTGTACCTTTAGTTCTGAGAGTTCTACACCCTTCTGTACCAGAACTCAAGACTTCTGTTTCTTAGAAGTACTGTCTATAGACTATATACAGACTAACTCTTACTACTACCCCTTCTTACTTTATCATTCTGTTCCTTTGACCACCCCTTCATTCTTTGTTCATTCTATAGTCTCTTACCCTTTATCCATCCCTTCATTCTTTATACCTTTATCTTTGACCTTCCTTTCTTTCATTCTTTGTGGCTCATTATTCTTAGTAGCTCATATTCTCTGAGTACTCTTGTATAGTTTAGTATATATAGGTATATAAGATCAGACTAGTCCTGTAGTCTTGATCTTGTCTACTCTAGATAGTCCTGTACTCTTAGGCTTACTCTATATACTCTACTCTTGTCTCACTCACTCTCTCTGTCTGTTTCACAAGTTCTGACTATGTTCTAGTACTTACATTCTATATTTCTGTTGTGTAGGATAGTTGTAGCCTGGGTCCCCTCACTGAGCCTTCAGGTCCCCTCTACACTGTTGCTGACACAAAGTACATTTACATTAGACAGCCTTATACATCTTCTAAACTATTATAAACATTTGCTACTAAACTACTAGACAAAGTAAATCAGAATTAGATACAATCTGTTAATACTACTATATACAGAATATAACAAATGGTTTTACACTTAATTACTACTTTTTAGAAAGGTTTGCATGAGGGATATAATGAGAGTGCCCAGAGTAATGAATACAGTTTACTGAATAGTGTAAACTGACACAAATTTGCTAAAGGGCAGTTACTCTATACATATGTTTTCAATTCCTCTCTCCTTGAAAATCCTGGGATAGACCCCTTTAGTAGATAATGAGTTAGAATGTGCTACTTTTGCATGATGAGCTGAGAAAGACAAATGAGTGAAGACAGAAAGTGTGTAAGGTGCAACTGTCTACATCAGGAAAACATCACATTTCTTGTAATTTCTTATGAACTTTGTAAAGTAACATATGTATTTTGAGCAGGCAATATAATATACCTGCCATGAATATCTACTGATTAGCCCAGCTTTGAAGATGGCTTTGCGCTTCCTGAGTACCACACGTTGCCTATCATTGTGAGATCCAGAGACAGTACTGAGCCCAGCCATTACAAACTTGAACACTAGCGCCACTACGTCGGATCTGTTGCTAGTACTGAATGCAACTGTGGTGGCGGCGATATACCATGGATTTTCCATGTATTCGGCAGCCTTATCGTTCGACGTAGGATAAGGACCTTTGAGGAGGGAGAGGAACTCATTTGTTGCTACTTCAGCCATTTTGAACAATTCCTAGTCGACGTTGGCTCAAATTGGCAAGAAAGAGCGCTAATAGTAAAGTTTCTCAAAACGTGACAGCACGAAATGTGCTTGCGTTGAAGGACAGAGGCGAAGAAACAGCATTTCTAAGGCTTAAGCAAGGCACTAGTGATCCGAGGTTTTGTCCAAACGTGGACAGTCCATTACTTTATCCATGCTCATTACATTTGAGGCAGATAAAGGAGTGTTCACAAATACGAAAAAGATGTCTGGGATCATGCAATCAATGGAATTTGAAATATGTGACTATATATTTCAGCGTTTCTGATATTTCAGCGTTATTATATGTATAAGCAGTACATAAATGGTGTAATTGACTCCCAGGACAAAGGAGATACTGTAATTAGTATAATGGTTCTTAGAATGTGTTGCTACTTATGTACTGAGCATAAGGAGACTTTATTTGATTGACATGGTGTACATAGGACACGAATTAAAGTAACAGGGCATTAAAGTAAGCTACTTTTGAGTTTCACCAATGATAATGCCCCAATTTATCTGATCAGTGGTTGTGATAACCCGATCCTGGGGAATATGAATGTTGTACTCTGACTTCAATACTTTGATAATTTCGTCAACATCATTTGCATAATCATGTGGAAAGTAGCAACGAAAATTGTTAAAATGGTCTGATTTGAGATATCCTACCAGTTGATCTTTTCTTTCCTCTGCCCTGCTGAGCCAGTCTTCGCCAAAATATGGTTTTGCCTGCTCCTTTCTAATTGCTGTATCAATCTGTGAAAGTTCTTCAGTCCATGTCTTCTGGTAGACCAACACTTCTTTTACGTTCTTTGTTGTTGTGGAGAACCTATGTAAGAAGTTGCTTATATTTGTTGATTTGGGATCATTGTTGCTAATGTTAGAATTGTCTAAGGTACAGAGCTGTTCCATGAGTAAGAAAACGTTTCTACACTTTATTCTCCAAGAATTCACAGATAAGGAAGAACGTGATTGTCTTTGCCTATCTCGTCCCTTGGAAGACATGCTGATAATGGTGGCTGTCGGATATTGGCTTGATGTACTGTGAACACAAAGACACCTAGAAGCAATATGAATTGAGCCTACTTTATAGTATTATGGCTATACAAAGTACTTTTGTATCAGACGGCTCCATGCAGTCTAACTACCAAGCAAATCTAGTAAGCAAAGTAATACATCGGTATCAGATGCATCGAGCCATTTTTGCCTTACTAATAATGGCATTCAGTAATGTACACACTCAAATAGAACAGAGCAAAGATGATAGCAAGGTACGTGTAACTGATAAAATACTCTATTGCCTACACTAATTATAGAATACGTTGAAACATTTTTGCACTTAACTAGTGGGCTTTGAAGAAAGTTTGGACAAGGGACATGATTCAAACTCCTTAAGTATTAGATTCAGTGTAAGAAACTAAGAAATAGTGCAAACTAATACAAAGACTACTAATCTACTCATACACCTACATTTCTGACCTCCTTAAAGACTCTGGGATTGGCCCTTTCAGTAGATAACGGATGCGATTATTCTACTTTAGTATAATGAATGAATTAAGACGAAAGGGTGAAGGCAAATTGTATTTATTTGTAGCTGTCCGGACATAAAGAAGCAAGCAAAGCAAGAACTGGTAAATCAATAACCTTGTCAGCATGGCCCAACATACAGTAGCATCTTTCACTATATTACCACAGTCTTGTCTGCTATCCGTCTCGTCATCCCAAACAATATGGGCATGTTAATCCATACCATGTTTATGTCGTCTCACTACTCATTAGAATAGTATAGAGTAGCTGCCTATGCAGTATGCCATTGCCATTTCCTGCTTTGCACTGATATAAGCAGCTTCTTACAACACTGACAAGTAATTAAAAGAAAGACGTACAGTAATCCTGATCTGAGCCGTTTCTTTACACAACTGGGTTTATCATACTGTATTGTTATGTATCGCATTAATCATCGTTCCCGCTACACTTCACTGATACTGAATTATGGGTGGCAATTATCATCAAGTCGCGTGGGTGTATTACATAATCTCTGACACGTCTTTTACCGACACTGCTCCTTCAGCCTGCAGCTCTGCCGCGACGGACGTTGAGCCTCCGCTTTCTCCGTCCATCCGCTCCTCCCGCTATTTATCCTTTTTTTCATCACGGCACTCCTGCTTTACCCTAGATTCTTCTCTTTTTCTTTCCTCCACAACAGGTATAGAGGCTAGAAATGGGTGCACAATCGCCGTCTGAGGAGCTCAAGTACCTCAAGTCCCTCGTAGACCAGCTCAATGAAAAGATAAAGCAACTTGAGCAGAAAGCCGTAAAGGTGGTTTCCCCCACTCCGGCGGAACAATTAAGGATGATTCTGATTGGTCCGCCTGGTGCTGGTACGCTACGTCTTGCTCATTTAATCCATTTCCTTCTCACTCAACGTGTCATTTGTCGAAAATGTATTCGCGCACTTTGACGTGATTTCTTAGGCAAGGGAACTCAAGCACCTAGGATTCGGGATGAATTCTGCGTATGCCACCTTGCTACTGGTGACATGTTACGAGACCAAGTACAGAAGAAGACCCCACTCGGTGTGGAAGCAAAGAAGATCATGGACGCAGGTGGACTCGTGAGCGACGATATTATGGTCGGCATGATCAAAGACCAGCTGGAGAATAACAAGGCATGCAAGAATGGGTAGGTATCTGTTCACTTCGTTTACGGACGGTGAGCTAGTCGGAAAGAAAGCGGTTGGAGAATGTTCATGTAATTAGAAGGTTGGAGGCTCAAAGGTTCGGGTTTGACGGCAGGATCTACGTTGAAGGATCTTGGTGCACTCCGTCCCCCTATTTTTTGAAGAAAGGAAGATCGATGGCTCCCCACCGGCATTCACTTCACGTCTTCCCGCCGCCTTTCCTACTCCCTTCCTTCCCCAACTTTCTCTCTAGAACTGTCCATGACACCTACTGACCGGTCTTATCTTGTTCCCTCATTCCAGTTTCGTTCTAGACGGCTTCCCGCGTACTGTTGGTCAAGCAGAGAAGCTCGACGGCATGCTCACCGCGCGGAAAGAACACCTCGATCATGTCGTTGAATTCCAGATTGATGATTCGTTGCTTATTTCGCGGATTACTGGTCGGCTAATCCATCCTGCCAGCGGACGCACGTACCATAAGGAGTTTGCGTAAGTAACTTGGATTATTGCGTGTGCATTGAATGTGTCTTCTACTTTCCATCCCGTCTCTTCTAATCCTCGTGCGGCTGTTATCTTGATCCTTCTTTAAGCCTGGAGCTTTTAGAGACTCCCCCGCTTCCCTCCTCTCCACCAAGTTTATTCCACACTTTCTCACAATCGCCATCTTTTTTTAATGATTTATTTGGTGAATTCTAACGCCTATCTGCTATTCATGATCTTTCTGATATTCCCCACGTTCTTCACCGCTTCGTGCTGCCATTTACTTCCCCGTCCCCCCCTCCCCCAAGCTCCGAATCAGCTAACTAAATCTTTATTCCTTGCTCAATGGCTTACGGTATAAACATAGGCCTCCAAAGAAAGCAATGACAGACGATGTGACTGGCGAGCCCCTCATCCAACGGTCGGACGATAATATTGAGACATTGCGCAAGCGATTGACCGCGTACCATCAGCAGACCGCCCCTGTTGTGGACTACTACAAGGCGAAGAGCATTTGGAAGCCGATCGATGCTGCGCAAGCTCCACCTGTTGTGTGGGAGAACTTGGTTGGGGTATTCAAGAGTGCGAAGAGGAAGTAAGGGTAAGAAGGGTGAGAGGGTGAAGGGAGAGTGGATAGAAGTGGAGGAAGAGGAAGTAGAAGGAGGAATGTGCTCGTGGATGTAAAAATTGCGCTTGATGACAGTATTTTGGACGCTACTTCTTCACCATATCAGCTGCTCGTCTCTCTAATTATTTGCATTCGTTGTTCATTCAATGCATATTGGTCGTTGCATCTGCATCCTATCTTACCGTCTTCATGCCGGCCATGGTCCAACTCAAGCATAACCGCAGGTTCTTTTGGTGCTAGGGATGAATCTAGTAGATTCTGATGAGTCTGAGATGAGACGTAAATACGGACGGCGCCTCGGGGCCACCAGTGACATAGGACCGAGGAAAACAAGGGTGGAACACACTCGGGGAATTGGTGGGCTTTACTGTGAGGGGTTTTGAAACTACATATGGAGCGGAACTCTTGGATGCTTGATCCGGCTACTGGAATCTCGAAAAACTAGTCTGCGGTCGTCACACGCGTAGACAAATTTCGTGATCCGCAAAAGAGAAAATTTGTCTATTGAGTCAATGTACTAGTTCAGTGAATGTCTTTTTGCGTGACGTTGCATAGCCTCGCAACCTATGGGCATGGATGCACACTAGTACTGTTCTTCAAAATTGTTTTGTTGCATTGTAAGCTAATGTCCGATGTTAACATACAAATAAGTTGATAGGATAGAAGTTACAAGTTTTACTGTTACATGAATCGTATAAATTGAAATGATCTCTTGTGCCTGTATTCATATTGTCTGAGGCATGATGATGGTGTAGTTCACCGACCGACTGATTGACTGATTCGGACTGACTGGGCTATAGTAAACGGAAAGAAGGAAAGGATACTGGTACTGGCGGCTCCGACGCGCCAGATCTGGAAACTTCTGACATTAAGTGTTGATGATAAAATGCCGACGTCCGCGGAAGCCGGAGTAGGCGGGCCGATCGCATTTGCAGAGCAGATAAAGCAAAATCAAAATCAAATAGGATTGCAGAGCTTTCCACTCTTTCTTCTGCGTAGCTACGTGTATACTCTGACACTGTCAGGAACGATGTGCAGTAAGGGTCAAATATGGTATACGGCGCATCAGTGCATTAGTACTGCATTTTGTGAGGCTCGTAGGACGCACGTGGAACGTGCAGGGTTGTAGAGATGGGAGTACGGAGTGTAGATCCTTCCGTTTGCATAGCATTTAAGCATGGTTTGTGTGTCTGATGTGTCCCTTTCCCCCTCGTCTTTCGGTTAGGTTTCGTCGGTAATAGCACATTGGAGGCAAAAAAAAAAAAAAACGCGAATTTGCGAAAATCTTTTAAAGAGGGCACGATCGATAGGGATACATGAGTATCGGCATAGCTGAAGGAGTAAACATAAGAATCGGACGTACGAACTTGAAGGTTAAAAGTGCGTTGCTATGTTTCACTTTTCACTTTTCACGATCGGGGATAGTTTGAATAAGGACGTATAGGGTGAACGGCAAGTTGCGGAGGTATGGTTATTAAACGGGACGTCGAGCAAAGTAGCAAAGCCTGGCGACGGAAGAAAATCTAGTCCCAAGGGGGTTACTCTGACCTGACCTGACCTGACCTGACCTGACCTAAGCTTGTTTGTGCCGACGAGCCAAGGGGAATCGGAATTAGAGATATGAAATGCTTCCGTAAAGGCATGTAACCACTCCAGACCCTAGAGTTTATCAATTCGAAAATAAAATAAAATTGAACAGAGTGGCGGCTGCGGCGTTTGAGTTTTCAACTTGATTAAACTTTGATTTTGACATCGTTTGTAGAAATCTAGAAACCTAAAATACAAGGACAGGCTAAAGTAGAATGTTAGACTGTTAAGTAAAGAATCAGGATGCATACACGATATCAAGGGGAAGATGCGATGTTATGAACCACTGACTTTGTTCGATATTAGAAACTCAAAATACAAGGGACGTCTGGGGAGGCCAAAGTAAAGTGTTAGACTGTTAAGGTAAGAATCAAGATAAATGTCAAATCAAATCAAATCATATTATATTATATTATATCAAGGGGAAGATGCGGTGCTTTTGAGCTTTTGACTTTGATTCGACGTAGAAATTCAGAATATTCAGAATACAAGGGCAAGCACAGAGAGGCCAAAGTAAACGTTAAGCTGTTAGACTGTTAAGTTAAGTATCAAGATGCATATCATATCAAGGGAGGATGCGGTGTTTTGAGCATTCGACGAGGTCGGTTAGAACTTAGAACTCAAAATACAAGGGCAGGCCAAGGTAGACGTTAGACTGCTAAGAAGCAAGATACACATCGTTATCGAGGGGAGGATGCAGTGCTTGACAGTGTTGTTTTTCTGAGGAAAGATCCGGAGCGCAGTATATCTTTAACATAGAGTGTCATGGGTATGTTCCACGCGATACCTGTAGGGGATTCAGTCAGGAACATCGGCTCGGTTGCTAGATTTTCAAATTCGTCGTCGTCATCGAGTGGTCACTGGTGTCTCGACAAAGTTGCGCTGTGCGTGCCGAGACAACGCCACGAAGGTCTATGTGTGCCGTTCACTGAGTTCTTTGTTGTCGATCTACTCTATTTCCGCAGCAAGCCGGCCGAGAAATTAAGTATGTTGTGAACATTGAGCAGTGTGGGCGCGCCGAGATGCTTACGAAGGGTTCAGGAATGTGTACAGAAACGGTACAGACGACCTAAATACGCTCTAGCAACGTAGATCAGGCGATCGGGTCACGCCATCGTATCACTGTGATCAGAGACATCAGACAAATCGGATTAGAAATTAGATACGTGCACGTACATACACGGTAAGACAGGAGAGAAATAGAAGAGAAGCTTTATGGGGACAGGGATTCATAAGAAGCTTCGCACATACCAGGCTTCGGAAGCTTTATTAGGATTAGGAGAACCCACTCTAATTAGCCAAAGAAGCGAATTGGAATATGCTTAGTGATAAGGTGTACCGTGACTCGTGAGCGGTGAGAAGGTAAGTGCGAGAAGAGAGGGAGTGATGTTTGGAGAGTGATATTATTGATGGGTCCGGCGAGAACGGCAGGCCTATAGTGGAATATGGATATGGAACTAGTAGAGAAGCGCAAGGGATAGATTGGACGCGTATGGGCGAGTGTGCCTTGGCGGTCGCGCTGATGTCGGAGGGAGGGTTAGTTTAGTTGCCGAGGAGACAGAGTTGGGATGTCAGCACGGTAAGGAGCGTTTCAGCGACGACGACAGGAACGGAATGTCAATCGATGGTTTATCACTGCTCAAAAACCCGTTTGGATATATTTTTCTAATGGAAGTGTTCTAGGTCTAGAGCGGAACCAGGACCGGGCTGCACAGAAAGGCTGCGGGATGAACCTGTGCAGACGGCATCGCACGTATGGATCAACATCAGAAGTGGAAAATGTCAGGAATAGGAGGGCCAAGGAATGATGGGCGATGCAGTGATAAGTGTGTTTGAGTGCGGCGGGAAGAACAAGGCGGAGACAACTTGGATGGACTGTTCGGGTTTTAACTCACGTGGCGGATGCAGATCCAATCTCGTCATATTATTTATTTATTTCTACTGTAATCAACTCATGTTACCTAGATCTCCCTGCTACTTACTCGAACCCTCCCTCGGGCAATAGGATCCCCCGTCTGGCCGATTTCCATCTTCTCTTCCGTAATCAATCCAATCCTATTCACTCTCGTCCTCTCTCCGCTCGCTTCTCCCATAGCGGAGTGTAATTGTCTTTCTTACTTAAACCCTGCTTCCTTCCACCTCGACGCGCTCCAGGAACTTACTTGGCCGCGCTCTCTTTCAATTTTATACGATTCAGCACGATACATACGACACGGTACAATGCCGTCGGACAGGACTAACGCTGCGAGCAGCAGCTCAATGGGCAATCAGCTAGATGGCGAAGACCAAGATCTATCCTCCACGAGCCGGGCAGCGCGCAAGGGCGGTAACCCCCTGCAGCGTGGCTCCGCCTGCCTCAGCTGTAGGTCAGTCCTCACTCACTCAGTCTGTCCTTCTCGACCTTTTATACTTATTCAATGCACTCGTTCTATCTTAATACCATGTATCATGTATCATAGGAAGCGCAAAATGGTGAGTAACAGCCCAACTTTCTTTGCATTCTTTTGTCATCACTCTCGCCTTCGCTATCGCCGCTCCTCACCGAGGCCGTGTTGCTGCGCTCTCCATTTGGCCTCTTTCTTTTCACATATATAATGCCCGTATATCTTATTTGCTATGTCCGATCACTCATCATAATCCTACGCGCAGAAATGCGACGCGACGAAACCCGTATGTCGACAATGCGTTAAAGCAAACAGAGCAGAAGAATGTGACTATGACGATGGGAGGCAGAAGAGCCGCACGCAGATCCTTCAGGAGAAGATCGCGAAGCTAGAAGATCGGATACGTGAACTTGAGTGTGCGGACGACGAGTATGCACCTGAGCAGCAGCAACAAACGTACGACCCAACATATGATGCGTTTGGACAAGCAACGGCGACGACGGGCTTTGGAGGTGAGGACTACAGTGCTGCTGGGACGAATGGTGGAGCGTACGGGTTCGCAGGCAGTGGAGTAGCACCGTACCATTCACCGGCAGAGTCGGCCTCTGCCTCGGGATCTTCGAACGGACAGTCGTTCTCCCCACTCATCCTTGATGGAGGCACTAGCACATCTACTCCATCCCTTTCGTACCATGGACACGGACACGGGCCGACAGCCGGTCCATCGAGTGCGTCACTCTTTCCCCCCGGACCTGAGCAGCAACATCAGCACCACCATCAAAATTCGTTCTATCCTTCTCCAGCAGAGATAGGCAATACTAGCAGCGCAGCCGCCGACCTCTTCGGGTTTCCAAGCTCGCCTGATGTTGTGGGTGTCCATGGCCATGGCGGCTCGGGGATAGCAGTGGCTTCGGCTTCGACTTCGGCGGCGGGTAGACCGGGTTCCGCGGGACCTTCGGGTAGTAGCTCGAGTGGTGCCGCATGGGGTCAGCAACATGAAATTATGAATATGAGTTCTATCTTTGGGCCTGCTTCGACTTCGACTTCTGTGCCCGGCGCTGGCGCTGCTGCTGCGTCGGTTCCGGGTATGCCGATAAACGAGGGGTATGGGGCATTGGATATGGGATTCGATGCGTCGATGGCATTGGGGATGAACATGAGCATGAACATGAATATGAATATGGGTATGAACTCAAGCATGGCGATGGGTATGGGAGTTGGCATGCCTGGAGACCTGATGACGATGAGTGGATATGGCGGCAGCACGCATGACTTTTCTGCGTTCTCTACTGCTGGTCCTTCCTCTATGCAGTCGTCATATGGTGGCCAGCACGCGAACCCAAACGCTATGTCTAGCGCCTCATCACTTACTATGCGTTCTGTCTCCTCTTCTCTACCATTCCCGAGTCCCGCAAGCAGTTCAACATCTGGAGCGGTACCTGGCCCTGGACCAAACTCTCTCTCGATTCCGCGTACTGGCGGTACCGGCACACGTTCAACTATATCTCTCCAAACAAGTCTTGGAAAGAGCAGTAAACCAATGAGTCGGTGGGATGTAGAGGTCCTACATGTGCAAGAGCGGAAAATTCTGTATGTTCACCTTCAATTCATATCGGAGTCGGGCGGAAACTAATGCAAAATGACGCTTTTTTTCAATAGTGCAGATATATTCCTACCTCATGCCAAGCAATGTGGGCTAGACCTCTCGCCTGAGAGACTCTATCAACGCTTAGAATTGGATAACGCTTATCCCACTCTCTTCCCGCTCCTGGCGTCTTCTCAAAGTCAAAATCAAAATAACCATCCTCAAGGACATGGACAACAACAACATTTGCAAAATCTAGGAGAACTCCGCGCACCACCGGCTCACCCTGCACTCGCTAACGCAATTTACCTCCTCGCGTGTCATTTCTCCGCTGTTCACTTATCTGGGCCTAATATATCTACCACGAGTTATAGAGATGGAAGTAGTGCGAATGGGAAACAGACGGACCTTTCGGCACATGAGCCGCATTTCCTTACGCGAGCGTTGCGTGGGATCGCCGCGGCCCTCGAGGCGGGTGAGGCTGCGGCGACGGATTCGCCGAGCAGTCGGTCTAGTCGATCCAGTCGGAGTTCTACGAGGAGTGGAAGTGCGAGTGCGAGAGGGTCGAATTCGCCGAGGAGTGAGGCTGGGGCGTCACCTGCTTTGAGAGTGCAATCGAGGAATAGCTCGAGGCCTTCGACGTCTCATAATACTGCATCTACATCTGCATCGACATCGACGTCGACTTCTGCTGCGAACTTGACTGCTGGGATAACGACTGGGCTGGGCGGAGGCGTGCCGAAAGAAGAGGAACAACTGGATACGGCGACGCCGCTTGTGGATGCTGTACAAGCCAGTGCACTCCTTGCGGTTTATTTCTTTGCGAAAGCGAGGTTGTTGGAAGGGTATTATCATGCGAGTGCTGCCGCGAGGTTGGCTGTGAGTTTGGGTATGCATCAAGTAAGAAGTCCGGTTTGGCGGCCTCCACCTCCACCTACGTTGGCTCCTGCGACGTCTCCGTCGCCTTCGTTCGGAAGTTCGTCGTTTGGGTCGACAACGTTTGACTCTGCTTCCTCGAGCTCAGGTTCGTCTGGCTCAGCTATGGGAAGCAGTTCGAGTGGGAGTGGGAGTAGTGGGAGTAGCAGTGGATGGTCCGGAACACCACATACTTCACCTTCACCCGCTGTACTCCTCGCTCCAGCACGCAGTGCACTCGAGCACCAAGAACGGGTGAGCACCTTCTGGAGTGTGTTCTTTGTAGATCGATGTTGGAGCATTGCGACTGGTTTACCGAGTAGTTTACCGGATGATGAGCATCCGCAGTTGAAGATCAGTACGGTGTGGCCTTGGGAGGGTGTCATTACTCTGAACAACAGGGCGGATGCGGAGTATGAGAGTTTGGGAGGTCTTTTCGAGGTTAACTCCGGTGAAGATATGGGAAGGAGGAGAGGAGGGAAGAACAGGTGTACGAAGGCTTTCAAGGTGAAGGCTGCTGCGTTCTTTGAGAAGGCTGCGCGGATTACTTCGAGTAAGTTCCTTCTTACAATCTTTCTCATTCGTAGTTTATGACAATGACTGAAGTCAACTATGATGATATAGTGCAATCTGAACCCACGCATTGGGAGCAGCTCACGCAGTTGGAATATGCGTTGAATGGTTTTATTTCTACGTTGCCTTCGTACCTCTCTACTACGTCTTCTCCCTCTTCGTCCCACTCCCCGTCGTATTCGCCGGTGTCGACTCAAACGACTGTCGACGTAGACCTCGCACTCACGCACACCCTCGCACATACAGCGCTTATCCAGCTTCACCATCCACGTGCACAGAAGGACCTTACCTCACATACCATCTGCCTCCGAGCCGCATCCTCTTGCACTCAAATCATCCGACACCTACAGTTAAACGACTACGGGTTGTTGGATCCGGTGATAGGGACGTGTTGGATGTGTGTTGGGGACGTACTTTTGAGGGAGAGGAGTTGGGGTGGGGATATGTCTGGTGTGTCGTATGATGTTGGGAGAAGTAGACAACAGCAGGAATGTGGTGAGGCTGTGGGTGTGGAAGCGGAGTTGGAGTGTGTGGTCAGTGCGTTGAGGCAGTTGAGTTTCGTGTTTCCTGTTGCACGTAAGTCGTTTGGTTTATTCGTCTTTTCTTTTTGATTGCTTATCTTGCCGCCGACAGTGTACCAGGTACAGAAAGTCGAGCAGTCTCGCGCTATGGCGTTCTGAAAAGCCGAAGCGTGAAACGTTCCAGACATGTTGCTTAATATTTATTTCCTGCTCTCCTACTTTGGTTTTTCGCTGGTCCTTGATCTACGCTTTGCATGTCGTTCCAATGCTTTCAACAGGCATATCCCGAATATAGGATCCATATTTTCAGATCTATTATTTTCGTTTATGATTTCTTTTTTTTTTCTCTCTCTTTGGGTTAGTAAAAAGATCTATCTCGAGTCAATACTGTATCTACTAGTTCATAGTCCCTCATCCCCATTACCCACTCCCTCTTTTCGTCTTTTTTTTCGCTTTCCCCATCCCGGAGGTTCTTCGTTAAAACGTGGACCATGCGTGTTGGTTCACAGTTCCCTTTCATAACCGATTCGTTCTCGTCTTCGCCTTCGTTTTCATACACCTTTCGGCAATGTTTCCTGCTTTGGTTTCGCAATCGTTATCTATTCGGTTTCCTCCTCTCAACACACGTCTTTCCATCACTTTTCCTTTCAGTTTTTTCAGTTCTACACTATTCTAGTTCATTCCGGGTTCCGGCGAGGACAGGAGGTGGAAACGTCAACAACAAACAACATTATACGTTATACCCCCTCGATCATTATCTATCATAACCCTCCCCTATTCCGAATTTACAATGCCGTCATTCTGTGTCCGGAAGGTGTAGAGAGGATTGATTTCTGATTTGCAGATTGCAGTTTTACCGCAACAAAATCCTAAACGCACCGGATACATTGTGGCTTCGGCTTCGCTTCTCTTCCGTTCCTAACTTCTTTCTATCTTCTCCTTACCTTATTTCTTCTTTTCATTTGACACGGAATATCTCTGGTGCAGGACTTCTTACACCTCTCCGTCCTTTGTTTCTCTTCCTGTTCCTTTCCAGAGTGTTCTTGGAACGACTTTTCCCCAAGAAGGATTGCCTTTGCTAACCTGACACTACTTTTACTTTCATATTACACCAATCCCCTACAAAACCTTCTTTGTGTACATGCTTTTAGCTTCTTTCAGCTGTCTAACTAGTACTAACTGTATCCATTAGTAAAATCTTCATCCTTTGGCACCTGTAGTGACTCATGTATTTAGATGAAAAGGAAATTTGTTTATAAAGTCAATATTTATATACATATTTAAATGTTGAATTCATTTTCTTTAAGACAAAGACAGTAATTGTCAACTGTTTAATAATAATACTATAAGTCCTTAACAGTAAGATTGTTAGGAATTGTAAAATACAGTAACTAAGTTTGGAAAAGCTTAACTCAAGACTTAGGACTGAGTAGTTTATATACAAAACCCTATTAGTCACAAGTCTAGAGATTGGCCAGATCAACTAGGCTACCTTTGTTGTCCTACTTAGT